CCTCCTACAAAGCCTCCTCGCCTCCTCGCGTCGTGTTCTTGGGCGTCACTGTGTGCTTGTGAAGCTCGGAGCTCAGACTGTGTGAATGTTTGTTTGTTTCTTCACTGACTCCCACCTTCACATATGCTCATCCATATTTAATGCCGTCTAGCAGCCTGTGTGTGTGTGTGTGTGTGTGTGTGTGTGTGTGTGTGTGTCACTGTGTGTAAATGAAATGGTGTCACTGGCAGGTCTGCATGTGTTTGTGTGAATATGATTGTGTGTAAATGTGTGTACATAACGGTGTGTATATGGTTGTGTGTGTATAACGGTGTGTGTGTACATCAGTGTGTACATGCATGTGTGTATTTGTGTGCATCAGTGTGTGTGCGGCCTCCTGCTGTCCTCCACCATCTGCTGCTTCCTGAATCTCTGAATCTGAATCTGAGTTTGTGACTCGCTGATCTCCAGCACGAAGCTCCTCTCCGCCGCCGCCGACAACACGCTCCTCTGTTGCCGGGAGACCGAGTCGAAATCCGCCAGAACAAAAACATGTGATGTACAGTTTAGGAGACGCAGAGTGACAGGGCGAGGAGGGAAGGAGGGAAGGAGGGAGGAGGCTTCCTGGTTAGGAGGCGAACAAGTAGACATCCTTCCTGTGAATGTACAGAAGCTGCTCCCACAGTCAGAGTTAACTTGTCGGACTCTTTGTGTTGAAGTTTCAGATCCTCTGGCCCAGATCTTGTCCTCACTGCCATGGCAGCAGGTAGCGTTCAGGTGTTACAGGGGCTTCAACAGCTCCTGCTCAGTTCCAGCTACAGAACCGCGACTGGTACCCGGGTCGGGTTACAAGAGATTGTGTGGTAGCTAAAAAGCTAAAAGACTGACAAGGTCTAAAAACATCAACAGAAAACTGAACAAAAACGTTGGAAAGCCCCGACTGAAAACGAGTAAAGTTAGCAACAGAAAAACAACTCAAACCTGACTGACAGCAACAGAAATCAGTCACTAAAATGAACACAGGACAATGGCTGAGAGCACATAGTCCTCTTTTTGTTCTGGTCTCCATTGTTCTGCTGACAGAAGACATCTCTGAGTTCTCTCTCCTCCGTCATGTGGTTCTGGTTCCACAGAGCTGCAGGACTTGATACTGAAACATGAACCTCAGTGAAGGACCATGAATCAGGAGAGACAATCATCCAGATGGTTAAACATCCAAATATACGTTAAACTGAATTTTGTCTTCTTCAAATGTGGAGTTCTGTCCCAGTGACGCAGTTTCCAGTCAGATCAGATCACCTGCCTCACTGGGCACGCTCAGTAATGTCCTGTGTTCTTGTGTCTGCAGCTCGGCCGCCATGTCTAAAGCGACGGTGAAGAAGCTGCACTGGCGCTCCAAGGTACCGACCGTCTGTAGCTCCACTGTCACTGCTAAAGTTCGACTCTCGGTTTAAACCCGGCGTTTCGTCTGCAGGTGCAGGAGAGCTTCGTCCCTCTGGGGGGCGCCGGCTCGGGGGAGCTGGGGCTGGCCATCGGGGGCGGGGCCGACTACGGCGAGTTCCCGTTCGTCACCGCCGCCCCCGGGGGCGGGGCCACGGTGGGCGACATCATCTTAGAGATCGGAGGGACGCCGGTGTTGGGGATGACCCTCGGTGACGTCAGAGGAGTCCTCAACTCCTGTCCTCATCCAATCAGAATCAAGACCGTGTCACCAGGTCAGGAGGGGAGGGGCTCTACCTTCACATGTGATTTAATGTGTAAATGAATAGTGTCCAATTAACTTAACGAGTTAGTTCACCTCATTTCTGCTAGTATACAAAACAAACTCATTTAAAAAAGACCATAGAGTTCTGCTCTAGTGATTCATGGACGAAAAGTACATTTTGATGTTTTTACACAATTTTGACACATAAAGTTAAAACGTTCCTTTAAAAAAAAAATCAGAATTTCCGCACATAAAATTTTAAAATACATATTTTTATAATATTAAAAATTTTGATGTGTGAAATAAAAAATATATATATATATCCACATTATTTTATTTGAACTGTTTTGTAATTTAGTTGTGGTGGAAGTGAGGGTTGAATAAATACGATTTACAAATGACACACGCGTAAATGTCACCAAGAAACATCTCAGTGGAGTGAAATTGTTTTTGTGTCATAAAAAATAATAATTTGGACTCCTCGTGTTTGAGATGGTTTTTGTTGACATCACTGTGACATCACTGTGACATCACCGTGACATCACCGTGACATCACCGTGACATCTCCTCCTGTGTGTCTGTCAGGTTCGTCTCTGTGTAAAGACCTCAGGTTGTACCTCAGTAAGTGTTTCACTCCAGGATCCATGGACAGCCAGCTGCAGCAGCTCATCAGGGAGAACCTATACCTGCGCGCAGTGCCCTGTAAGACTCACCTGGACACACACACACACACACACACACACACACACACACCTGAGTTACATTTTTATAGTTGGATGGAAATCAAATAAAATGTCAAATGAGTCAAATATCTGAAGTGGTGACGGAATCATAAGAATGGACAGAGTGAGACCTCCTTTCAGCCGTCAGTGTTTCAATACCTGTCTGTTTGTCCACCTGTTCCGTCCCATGCTGATGACATCACGGTGTCCTCCCCGCAGGTACGACCCGGCAGCCTCGGGACGGAGAGATCTCAGGTGTGGACTACAACTTCGTGTCCATCGAGGAGTTTTTCTCTCTGGAGGAGTCTGGAGCTCTGCTGGAGAGCGGCAAGTTCAAAGGTACGAAAACAAGCGCTCCCTGACAACAAACGCAGCGTACCGTCCCTTTAAGAGACACGCTCAGGTGATCTGAACCTGCTCAGGCTGATTTCACTTTATTTGACAGGATGTTTTACAGTGGGGAGGAAACCTGCCGCTGGTTGTTTTTTTTTTACAGTGTTTGGGAGGAAAAGAGGATTTTATGTCTCTAATCCATGAAAAACCGAACCTGCCCCCCACACCTCCCCCACCTCCCCCGTATTAATCTGATGGGATTAATGGAACTAAAATAGAAACTGAATTCACACATTAAAACCTGTTTTCACACTCAGCAAAGTCACGCGGCGTTCCCACTGATCAGCTCTTAATTTGGCAGGTTTAATCAGTTCGTTAAACGATGGAAACCTTTCAGAACAAAAGCCTGTAACAAGTGACTTTCACTGTTCAGAAAGTTTATCAAATTTTTGGTTTAATTGGTTTTTACACGAGTGTCTGAAGTTTTGTTGTTTTTATCTGAGTCCTGAGGTCACATGATCAAACATGATCCACCTCTGTGACGCTCTACGACAGGAAAAATTAACAATTAGTACATTTAGAAACACAATGAGAGACACAAAACCACTACAAAGTGATACGAAATGACCACAAAGACAAATAATGACCACACAAATAGCCGTAAAGGGGACGCATAATGGTAATAAAATTAACATAGACACAAAAAATGAGCACAAAGGCACCAAAAAGACAACAATTTACCACAAAAAAGATGTACAATGACCATAAAGAGACACAAAACCACCACAAATGAACATAGAACAACCACACAGACAAAAAAACACAAAAAAGTTCAACAGATGTAAAATGACCGTAAAGACAAACTAAACAATCCTAAAGACGCACAAAACAACCACAAAGAGACAGAAAAACATGAACAGACATAATTATTAGATGCAAAATGATCAGAGACAACCACAAAGTGACACAAAATGATCACAAAGAGACACATAACCACCACAGACACAAAACCACCACAGAGACACAAAACAACCACAAAGAGACACAAAACCACCACAGAGACACAACACAACCACAGAGAGACACAAAACAACCACAAAGAGACACAGAATGATCACAAAGAGAAACAGAATGACGGCAGAAAGACAAAAAAATGGACATATAAATGCATGATGACCATAAAAACACACAAAACCACCACAAAGTGACACAAAATGATCACAGAGACACAAAACATCCACAAATTAACGCAAAACAACACTAGCAGATGTAAAAAAGCACAGACAGACACAACTGATAGACACCAAATGAACATAAAGAGACACAAAACATCTGGAAAACCGAGTGTAATCTGAGCTGTTATCTTTTTATATTTACGCTCCACTTCCTGTTCCTTCGTCCAATCACAGGGAACTACTACGGGACGCCCCGCCCCGTCCACATCGGGCCAGAGAGTCCACCAATCACGTACCAGGAGCACCGGAACCTGCTGAGGAACTTCAGGACGAGGAGCAAGTCTCTGAGTAACCTGGAGAAGGCTGTGGAGGAAGGAGACAACAGCGAGGAGGACAGCGGACTGTCAGGTATGTCACACCTGCCCCAGTCTACCTGCACAGGTGAGTCTCTGTGTTGACTAACCTCTCTACCTGCAGGGTCGGCCGGAGCCCCGCCTACCATCCTGCCTCTCAGCCAGTCCTGGGAGTCGGCGGCAGGAAGTCGGGAGGGAATCGAGAACGGAGGAATAGGAAGAAGAAGAGTAGGAGGTCCGCTGCCTGAGAACTGGGAGCTGGCCTTCAGTGATTCAGGGGAGCCCTACTACATAGAGTGAGTGATCAATAATCAATTACAGCTTCAACAGTCTGATTGTTTTCATCCTGCTGCCAGCTGAATTCAACGGTTTGATTCCCACTGTCGGTAAACATACTGAGGTGAGCTGTGGACGCAGTAGCTGTCAGTTTGAGTCTAAAATTTTACATTTTTTCAATGGAGTCTGGTAGAAGCAAATTATTTAATTGTTAAAATGCAACATTATCTGAACCAGTGCTCTATTTGTTGTAGTTGGGTGAATTTAATGAGTCAGTTTTTCTTTACTTTGAAGTCAAATGACATTAAGGAAGCTGCGGCATCATCACTGAGAGTTTTCTGTAGTTCTAAAATAAAAGTTTTTCCAGACCATACCAAAGCAGGTAGTAGAAATGCTAAAGTTAGGCTTGGCACTGTTACAGCAATAATACATATAGCAGGATGATGATGATGATGATGATGATGATGATGATGATGATGATAGTGATGAGATGATGATAATAGTGATGATGATGATGATGCAGATGATGACAGTGATGATGATGATGGAGATGATGGCAGTGATGAAGATGATGATGATGATGGCAGTGATGAAGATGATGATGATGGAGATGATCATGATGATAGCGATGAAGATGATAATAGTGATGACGAAGATAGTGATGAAGATAATAATCATCGTGATGATAATCGTGATAATGATGGAGATGATGATGACAGAGATGAAGATGATGCAGATAGTGATGATAGTGGTGAAGATGATGATAATAGGGATGATGATGGTGATGAAGATGATAGTGATGATGATGGAGATGATGATAATACTGATGATGATGATGATAGCGATGAAGATGATGATAATCGTGATGATGATAGTGATGATGATAATAGTGATGATGATGATAGTGATGATTATAGTGATGAAGATGATAGTGATGATGGTAGTGATAATAATGATGAAGATGATAGTGATGATGGTAGTGATAATAATGATGATGATGATAGTGATGATGGTCCTGTTTTCTCCCAGTCACAACTCAAAGACGACCAGCTGGTTGGACCCTCGAGCTCAGAACAAAGAGTCGACCTCCTGCACAGAACGTACGTTTATTCATTCACACGTTTCCTGTCATTTGACTGTTGGTGTTACTGTGGCTGTAGCAGCAGCAGCAG